TCTGCTCCCCCGGGTCGAGGCGAGTGTCGACGGGGAAGAGCTCCGCAAGGCCGCCGTCCGCCTTTCAGACGTACAGGTCGCAGCGTTCGGAGTCTACGAGCTCAACGCCTCTAAGTACGAGGTACTCTGTGGTCTACAAGGAGCAGCTGGGGTTGTGGACCCTGAGCTTCTTGCGGCGTACATCGAACCCCCGGCTTCCTTCAGTTCCGCAGGAAGCCAGGCTTTCCGACGGCAGCAGGTGCAGGCGATCCGGTACGCCTCCCAGGTCGCAGGGCGACGCCGCGGAGGGCAGGCGCCGAGCGCTCCTCTTCGCGGGGCGCCTGTCACCGCCGCTCTCTCCGGACCTCCCGCCACAGGCCCTCAAGCGGGCAGAGGCGGTCGAGGGCGGGGACGGAGCCGCGGTCGTCGCGGCGGACGAGGAGGAGGAGGGACCCGCTAAGGAAAGCGATGCCCCTTGCGGTACCGCCGTCGGTCCGCGTAGGGAGGTCGCACGTGGCTTGGAGCGCCCTCGGCGCGAGTCCATGGCTAGTGCGACAGTTGAGCTTCGGACTGCAGCTGCCGTGGACTCAGGGGGCGCCGTATCAATGCCCGCGTCCGTACCCACTCTCTCGGGAGGACGCCGCATTTGCGCAGACCGAGGTGGACAGGTGGCTGAGCAAGGGGTTTGTCCGGAGGGCGACAGGGTCGCAAGCGCGGGCTCTGACACGGGCCGGGCAGATATACCCGTCGTTCGTCACACAAACGGCGGGGAAGAGCCGGCTCGTGGTGGACTACAAGAGGGCGAACGAGTGCATGGAGGCGCGCACGTTCCGAATGGACCAACTCGCGGACCTCGTCTCGGAGCTGAGCCAGGGGGACCATATGTGGAAGGCGGACATCAAGGACGCTTACTATCACCTCCGCATTCGCACCGAGGACAGGATGCGGCTGGCCTTCTACATCGGCAGTTGCATATTCATCCCCCTGTGCTTGAATTGCGGCTTGGCCGTCGCCCCGTGGTTCTTCACGAAGGCGATGGCCCCGGTCGTTGGCTTTTTGCGCCACCTCGGCCACCGCGCATTTTCCTACCTCGACGACTTTTTCGGGGCAGCGAAACCGCGGCGGCCGGGCGACGCCACCGGGAGGCTGGAAACGCACGAGCTGGGGAGGGTGATGGCGCTTCGATTCCGGAAGCTAGGCCTCACCCTGCACCCGGAGAAGAGCTTCTTCGAGGGGACGACGCGTTTGGAGGTCCTCGGAATCCTCGTAGACACCGAGGAGGAGCGTTTCTTGCTGTCCCCGAAGAAGCTCGCCTCCATCGAGCTCGGCGCGTCGCGTCTGTTGCGATACGCCTCCCGTCACCGTCGCTTCGTAAAGCGCAAGGACGTCGAGCGGTTCGCGGGGCTCGCGAACGCGAGCGCCCCAGCAGTAGTCGACTGCCGGCTGCGCCTCCGCGAACTCTTCCCTGCTCTGGGAGGGGATCCGCGCGTGCGAGCGCGCGAAGCCCGCGCAAAAAATTCGCCTGCAGCGGGCCTCGGCTTGCGCTCGGCTCCGCGCGAAGTTCTTCGCTCGGCCGCTCGGCCGCTCCGCGGCCGCGACCGCGAATCGACCTCGCTGCGGACTTGGCGCTCGCTCGCGCTACAACGGGATTGAGGCCCGAGAGCGACTCCCGCCTGTCCCACGCTGCTATGCGGGACCTTCAATGGTGGGCGCGTCTGGCATCCAACCCCCACGTCGGCCGAGTGATCTGGCCGAGCCCGGACTTGTGCGTCTTTACAGACTCCAGCATGTCAGGGTGGGGGGCGGCGTGGCAAGGCAAGGGGCCGGCGCCCGGGTTCCGAGGCGGAAGAGGGGGCGCACATCAACGAACTCGAGTTGACGGCCGCCCTGCTGGCGCTGCGCCAGTTTCTGCCCTTCGCACGGCCCAGGCACGTGCTGCTCGTGACAGATTCCCTTGTCACGGCGCATGTCGTCAGAAACTACACCAGCCGGTCGCCGCGTCTTCTCGCCAAGTTGCGCCTCCTCTGCGCCCTCTGCAAAGACCATGGCATCTCCCTGTCGACGCGACACCTGCCGTCGATTCTGAACTGCTGGGCGGACCGCCTATCGCGCCGGCACGACAGTTTTGACTGGCACCTACCGCGCGACGCCCGCCTGCTATTGCAGCGCCGCTTCGCGGCATGCCGCGGAGCGTTTCCATCCAGCGCGACGAGCGGTGCCCCGCTCTTCGCGCTGGATGGAAACGCTCTACCGAGGCGTCCGCCGCCGCCTGGTTTGTTCCCCGTCGTCATTCCGCGCCCCGCCCTCCTAGGGGTCTGGGCCCGCTTCCTGTCCGCTCGCGCCGGCGTTCTGGTGGCGCCGAATTGGCTGCGCCAGCAATGGTACCAAAGCGCAGCGTCGGTCGCCCGCCCGGTCACGGTCGTTCCGGGCGTGACGACACTGTGGAAGAGCGTCGCGTTCGAATTCAAGCCAGGGCCCGCCGCCGTTGGCAGGAGCAGGGCGCCGCCGCCGCTGCCCACTTTCTAGGCGCCCGGGCCGGAGCGGCCCAAGCCGCTCCTTTGCTCGGCCACAACCTCGTCTCCAGTACGCAGGCTGCCTATCAGCACCACTGGGAGGCGTTCACCGCGTTCTGTGGAATTGACGGGGTCTCGTCGCTGCCCGCCACCCCCATCACTGTGGCGTGCTACGTCGGACACCTGTACGTGCGGGGGACAGTCCGTGGAGGTTCTATCAGGCCGTACATTGCGGCCATCGGGTTGCAGCATCGCCGGTACGGCCTGGCCGACCCTACGAAGGACCACTTGGTCGCGTCCACGCGCCAAGGCTATGTTTCTAATGATGCCGCGCGCGCCGGAGGGCCTCCTGAGCGCTCGGCTCCCTTCCCTGCGGAGTGCGCGCTGCGTGCTCTCCAGCTCGCCTTGGCCGCCACCGATCACCGCGGTCTGCAGAAGTGGAGCGTCGTTGCGCTTGGGTTTCTAATCTGTACACGCCCCACCAGTCTGCGTTTGCTCCGTCGCTGTGACCTGCAACTGTCGCCGACAGAGGTGACCCTGCAGATGGTCACCTTCAAATATGGGGACCGGTGGTCGTCGCCGAGAATCGCTCTCCGCATCCCGTTCCCCTCCCCTTCCGACCCCCTCTACGAGCTACTGTCGAAATTGGGCGCCGCTGCCGTTCGCCTGGAATCCTACCTGTTCTCTGGAAGCTCCGATCGCTCACCGCCTACCGCTGCCGTTCTCCGCTCGACGCTAGACTCGCTAGTCGCGGACGTCCGACCCCCGGCCGGGACGAAATGTACCGCTCGCTCGCTCCGTAGTGGGAGGATCTCCGCGGCCTATGCGGCCGGCGTTCGCCTTGAGACCGTCATGCGTCTTTCTAACCACTCCTCTGCGGAGGTAGTGCACAAGCACTATTTAGACGCGCTGTTGCCGGTTACACCGGCGGCACGGTCGTTTTTCGGTCGCTTTGCGCCCTCCGCTGTCCGTCTATGACGCTCCATCCAGTCTCGAAATTTGGCATTCTACCGCGTGAGCATCTGTTACGGACCTGTATCTTATGATCACACTGTAATGCCTCCCGCCGCTCTCAGCCCCCACTGTACGCCCCGGCCCCTTTGCGTCGGCCCTTTGCTTATCAGTGGGGGCAGCTGCTCAACTCTCTTTACTCCAGGCAGTCATCCGTTTCTCAGCCCCCGCCCCCCCGCTCCTCGCGGCGTGGTGCGCGCTGTCAGCCAACCGTCTCTGTGTGCGTACGTCACACTTCTCGTTTAGAATTATCTAGAATTGTTCGTTTACTTGTTACCCTACCCCAGATGTTTCTCCTGAATAAAATCTGTGTTATGGCATTCTACCGCGCGGGCATCTGTTACGTATCGTTATCATAGAGCAGCCAGGATGGGAGCTGGACTCTCGCCGAGTGAGAGTGTATTATACTGTAAAGTTTGCATACAGTACCTTCGAAGCTACCGTTTGGTACAGTACGGCAGAGCACGACGATTGTGTTCTACAGCATGAAGTCTCGTGACTGCCGGTGGGACGGTGGTCCCACCGTCTGCTCCAAGGAGCAGGACGTTACGGATCGGTGAAGCCATCGGCTCACAATATCAGTGTCAGGAGGGGGATTTTTTTAGATAAAAGCACTCAGGCGCCAGTCCAGCTCCTGCCATGACGACAATATCTATATTGTGGTTGGTACATATTCATTGAATAGCCACCAATCACAATAAAGATACAGGGCATTCACCAACCATAATAGAGGCATGCTGGTGAGGAATGCACCGTAGAGTGCATTTGGGATAATTCGTGAACGGCTGGCGCGGGCGCAGGGCTGACTTTAAACTTTAAGTTTAGAGTTTACATGGCGCATTTTTAGAAGGCGGCGGAATTGGGGGTCCGTACCGACGAATCACAACAAGCTTTGGCCTGCTCTGAGGCCTCTTGTCAACACCACATGGCTGGAGTAGAATAAACATGTAGGTCGGCAATTTAACTAATTTAGTTACTTAAATGCACCCCGAGACAGGTGAAATTTAGCCGACACGGGCTGTGATTGGCTACTGCAATAAAAATGAAGACACTTGTACCAATTAGCGAGTCATTTCGTTCCCATAATTTACTCTCCATACGTGTATCACGAATCACGTGCCCAACTGTAAGAAGGTATGAAAGATCTGGACCTCATTTGTCCTCTATCATGGTGGGGCTTCTGGAGTTGATGCTTTTTCGGTCATGCGATTACAGCAGCATGCCGAGTGCTCTGCACTTGAACGGCAAACAAACAAACATTTTATATCGGCATTATTAAACTTATGTGTATTTTAGCAACACTTAAAAACACCTGGACACGAATCATGATTTGCTGACAAGCGCGACATAAAGGCCTCCCAAACACACACTGCAGAGGTCTGGGGTCAAGCAGCAATCGGCGACGCACCTCATACAAAGTGTGCCCCAACACACGCGACATCGTTAGGTAGTCACGACCATTTCACTTTCCTGCTGTGTCCATCCTCGTCCCGCACCTCACCCCGACCTCTCGGTGTAGCTGTGGTTCATCGCGAATGTTAACGTCGCTGTCGTTTGAAATCCCATCAGAAGAGAGCGTCTACCTCCGACGGTGATAGCTCCGCTGACTTTCGTTTCAAACCTCCACTTACTTGCATCGGCCGCGCTGAAGCGATAGGTCATGCCGCTGGCTCCGCGAAGCTCGCTTTCTCGTTTTCCTCTATCTAAGATGAAGATTCCAGCAGCCCTCTCACTTCTCCTCCTCCTCTCTTTGTTTGTCTCATCTCAGTCTGCCGTTTCCTCACCACTCACAGTAGATAGGACTGGGTTTCGCCCAAGCAGTGATTTTGAAACCCCTACTGTCAATGCTGCCGACCGAACCAGTCATATCGACGAAGTCCTCCCACCACCCACCGCTCGTTCTGCTGTTCCTATCCTCGATGATCCGGTTGAGGAACGGACTCATGATGTCTCAAAACTCAAGCCTCCCAACAGGCGGGCTGACAAGAAGCGTATTCTCGTTACTGGTGGTGCTGGCTTCATAGGTAGCCATTTGGTGGACAGGCTTATGGATGAGGGTCACATGGTAATTGTCGTAGATTCGCTCTTTACTGGCAAAAAGAGCAACCTTGAGAGACACTACAACTCTCCCCGTTTTGAGTTCATCCGACACGATGTCATCGATCCAATCAGCCTTGAAGTTGACCAAATTTATCATTTGGCTTGCCCAGCCTCGCCAATTCATTATAAGTATAACCCGATCCACACCCTCAAGACCAGTTTCTTGGGCACGTACAACATGTTGGGTCTCGCCAAGCGCACTCATGCTCGATTCCTCATTACGTCAACGTCTGAAGTGTATGGTGACCCCTTGGTACATCCGCAACACGAGGAATATTGGGGCAACGTCAACCCAATTGGCGAGCGTTCTTGCTATGATGAGGGTAAGAGAGTCGCCGAAACGTTGTGCTATGACTTTAAGCGGCAGAATGGTGTTGATATTAGGATTGCACGCATTTTCAACACATATGGCCCCAGGATGGCTCTCAACGACGGCCGAGTCGTGTCCAACTTTGTGGGACAAGCGTTGAGAGGGGAGCAGTTGACCGTACAGGGCTCAGGAAACCAAACAAGATCGTTTTGCTATGTTTCGGACCAAGTGGACGGTCTCATCAAGCTCATGAATACGGAGGATGTCGACGGTCCCGTCAATATCGGTAACCCACATGAATTCACTATTCGCGAACTTGCAGACGTTGTGAAAAAGGCTGTCGACCCGAATGTTGAAATTACTTATACCCCGTTAACCCCAGATGACCCCAAGCAACGTAAGCCGGACATCACAAAAGCGAAGGATGTCCTCGGCTGGGAGCCAGGAGTTGAATTGATGGATGGGCTGAAATTGATGACAGTCGACTTCAAGGAACGCATCCGAAACGGGGATGAAGGCTGGTGATAGCATGTGTAGCACTCCGTCACCACGACTGCTAACATGTGAACTGTAGAAACCGACACCCAAAACACAAATTGCATGCCCTTATGTAAAAGGGATCTTGTGCTTATGCTGGTCGAACATCAAACCGAGATTTTTTTCGCGGTCTGATTACCTCACTCTTCGGACGTTCGGCGAGGCGGGACCTAAATGGCACGTCTGCTTCTAGAGCTTGAGTGACATCTGACCTTCTAATAAACTTATCAGCCTCCGGGCGTGAACATGGGTTGCTATTTGTGTTCGATTGACGGTGCTTGAAAAGCCCTGGCATGTCAGGAGAATTGGAAATTCTAGCCCTTCTAGCCTCGTTCCAGAGCTTGCTGACCGATTGAGAGAAGTCGACGCGTACTCTCCGATCGTCGATGAGAGTGCTATCCATTTTGAAATATGCCTTTTCGCAGTGTTCTTTCTTCTCAAACTCAATGAAGCCATAGCACAACGATTTTCCAGATTTCCTATCACGCAAAATGTCTGCCTTGCACTCCCCAAAGCGCGAGAATATGATTTCAAGATCATCCGCTTCGGTAGCGGGATTCAGTTTGCAGATAAACAACACGTTTTCAGGCGGTTTCATATCCGCATCACGAATGTCGCCTATAATTTCAAGGACCTCCGCTCTAGTTCTGGCCTCTCGCTCTTGTTCTTGCTCTTTGAGACGAATTTTTGTCTTTTCACCAGAACTTTCTTCAAATTCTTCTTCATCGTCTGACCCTAGTCGATCTCCGCGACCACCTTGTGCTGGGTCTGGAGACGGACAATCAGAGGGAAGACCTGTAGGATCATCAAATGGGTCGTGCAAGACTATTGTGTGCCTTACTCGAATCAAGCGATACGGCCGAAAATCTTTGTCCACAAAAGCGTCAGCGATTTTGTCTACAACGTTAAAGCCTTCTACAACTTCTCCGATAACTGTGTGGTCATTGTCCAGGTAGCTCAAGCCATCCGCTAGAGTGATGAAAAACTGGCTCCCGATCTTCCTCGACCCTCCAACTACGCTTGACGCCATTGATACAGTTCCTTTGCGCTCATGTGAAGCAAACGGGGAACGTTCTAGGTTGAGGTACGCTGGGCCGGGGGGTTTGCATTTCGCGAAGACGGACTCGCCCCCATCTCCCTTATTGGTAGGATCTCCGGTCTGCGCTATGAATCCCTTCTCGATACGGAAGAATTCGCAGTCGTTGTAGTACTTAATGGTGCATAACTTTAAGAAGTTTCTGCATGCAGAAGGCGAGAGATGAGGTAAAAGATCAATGACGACATCGCCGTATGATGTTTCCATCAATACACTCATCTCTCAGAAATTTAGCTTCCCATGTTACTTTGCAGGGCGCATTATCGCGGGCTGAAACCCAGTTCTGTGTGAATGTGATCCTCAACCAGAGCGACTATGTGGTGATTGAAGGTCCCTCAACTTGTCTTGCAGGCATGAACAGTTTCGGTTTCTGCCTGCGTTGCCGAATAGAGCTTGTCCCTTCAGATGGCAGCGTGGTGGTACCTTAGCTGACTCTTTCGCTGAACGGTTGAGCGACACCTTTTTTGAGAAATGAATTTGTTATGAAGTAACCTTCAGACTCGGGATCTGACCATATTGAATAAAGCTTCATTCGACTAATTGGCAGGAAGTGTTTTATTTATGAAATGCCGTATTTAAAACAAGCATAAAAAGCCTCATTGCGCAATACACTAAGTCATTCAGGTTGCGCACGCCATGTTATACAGTATGAGAGCAGTTGAAATTGACCCCGCCTTCTTGTTTACAGTACGTGTTGCTCACACTTCATTCAGCCTTCGCACCTGTTCTCGAACGAGCCGGATTTTCGTGGGTGACGACGTTTCTTCATTCCATCAAACGCCGCGCCCCTCTCAGGCACCGTGCAGAGTAAGAGTTACATGCGTCGCTTTGCATGTGCAAATCGCTTTCTAGGAAGCAGTAGCGCCCCATTCACTCCAAGTGTAGGGTGACGACAATCGCAAAGCACGCAGCTGTCAATGAAGCGTCGACAACGACATCTTAGCAGTCTGTGACAATTATTCAATTACGCATTAACAGTTGCGTTGAGCTTGTTGAGTTCAGTGAAGATTGGTTATTTTGGATTACGGGGCAGTCGTGCTGGGGCCTGCTGAAGCCGCGTCGCGGCGTGAGACAGATAGCTTGGCTATCAGCATTGTAACACCTAGCCAAGTCGCTGGATATATTTCTAAGGTTACCGAGGAAAAAAGCGAGACTCTTCCATATCCCGTATGTCCCCCGACATGGTCAAGCAATGGGCTGTACTCTCAGAACACAAGACCCGACCTGGCCCTGAGTAGGAGTGATTACGGCAAATTTCCTCGCTTGTTTCCAGTCAATTCAAACGCACAACAGCTATGTGAATCCCGATCAGCTGTCCATATACAGGACTTCCAGGCCGCATTTGTCGAACCTAGAAGCATCTCTCGGGAGAAGGCCGTGCTTTGTGGTGATCAAGCTTACCACTTCCTTCCGACATCTCCAGGCGTATCTGATATTGATGAGGATTGTCAAGTTCCAGAGGCAAAGAAACGCCGGCGCTATGATACTGACACATGTGAAGGCGAATTATCTCAAATAATTCAGAATGCGGAAACGGCCATCAGCCAAGCAAGGTACGCCCAACGCGCTTCTTGGAAGACATTTACTTCAAGAGCTTCGGTACCTCCCCTTGGTGTGGACAATAGTGTCCTAGAAGGACTAAATCATGAATCAATCTTGTCGGAGATGAGCAAACCAGTTCATCAGGCCTCCTACGACCCACATGATCCTGGTCGAGCGTCAGGAAACCCACTCGTTGTAATTAAGTTTGGAGATGAAAACATTCTTGGCTGCGCTACATCTGGATGTCTGAATTCAGTTGCGCTTCTAGGCCTCGAGAAGTCCACTGGCAGCAATGGAGAGCTGAGGTCGCACATTTTTCGAAAGAACCGTCCCGTCGTATCGTCACAGGTGATCTCTCATAACTCGGAACTCATCAATGACCTGGTCATGACAGATTGGGAAATCGGAAGCTCGGAGCCCAGCAGGGTGCTGGCGTCCACTCAGAAATCGCTCAGCTTTGCAGAAGTTTCTGCGAATGACTATAAGCCCACAATTAAGTGGGTTGATCAATTCTCGTTTCCTATGCCGTTATCCTGTGCCTTGAACCCTCTCCTCCCCACAGAGTTTGCTGTTGTTTCATCATCCGGTCTTTTCTTTGGTTCTGTTCAAGACTTTTTGGCTCTTAAGGGCGATGGCACAGACTACTTTCATGATATCCAAGTTCTTGCGAAAGATCGCATTTACAATCGCCTCATCTTTGGTCTTCATCCACGGTCCCTTCTTTTGTCCAGTCGCAGGGAAATTGCTGCTTTCGACATGCGTAGCAGAGCGGAAACGTGCTCCCGTAGTGTATTGCTTGATGTACGAGAACACTGGAATCTTCCATGGCATGACCATGGCATTTCTATAATGAAACCGTTGGAGGCGAGGAGCTATACGTTGTTTGTTGCGACGCAGACATCTATGAATTTCGTTGACTTGCGAATGCCGAGCAATCCACTCCTCGACTGGTCCTTAAGCCTCCCGTTACCTCCTGAACAAGCCGCATTAGTATCACTGAATACGAATGGAATCCGTTCTTCTGTTGTCACAATAGGTTCTCGTCAATCTGGGTACCTTGAGGCTTTTCATTCTATTTGCGATCCATCAATTGGTCAACTTCCATTGCATGTTCCAGATATGATCAGCAGATCTGAAGCCACCAACTCCAAGGCTCCTGGATTTCTGAAAAGGCCGATGCTTTGGTCAGATTTACCGCTTGGCCATCTTCAACAAGTCAAGGATACCCGAAGTGCCTTTGGAATGGCGCTGATCCCGTTTGACGACGAAGGACTCGTTTCACTTCTTCAATGGACAGTAGATGATGGTTTGGTCGGACAAGTCTTGAATTTGAGGGCAGCGGAAGACGAAGGACACGAGGACATAGAAAAAGGGATTGAACTGCCAAAGGGGGGGTCACTTGTAATGTCTGAATTTCAGAAACAGATGCATTCACGAGAAAAGAACTGTAAGAGGGCTTGGGAAACATACCCTGTTCAACATAGTATGCCTGGTAGCTTTTTACAAGTTGGGACTAAACGTCTTCAAGTATGTGACATGTATGACCTACGACCGTGCATTCTCCGGAATGATGAAGATGATTCTGGTTTGGGTGGTTTCGATACTCTGCCACGGCCCTTTTTAGGCGATATACCAATGGCGTTGAAGATTCGAAATCAATATTTATACATTAAGGACAAGGGAACTGAAGTCGAAGAAGAAGTTTCTACGAAGAGCAAGCTTCAGGGGGAGTTACCGTTTCCACAGAAAGACTTCACTGACCTCGAAAACCGAGATCCGTTTTCGTATGGCGGCTTGACAAAGTCTCGAGAGTTGCATGTTGCTCGCCAATCCCTAGTGGCCAGCTCTCAAAGTGGGGAATCGTTTGATAGTATTTGTGCGGAGAGAAAAACTAATGACGAAGATGGATGTGCCATTGATGCAATAGGAGGGGAGTTGCTCGAACCTGACGATGGCGACGGACACATGGACGAGTTGCTAGAGCAAATTGGCGACGGGCAGACGCTAGATGAGATTGGACGTACAGTGCGGGGCGGAATAGCACACAATGCCACGCCATTAGGTGTAGATGAATTGCAATCGTCAATGAAGGCTACCGGTTCGATCCATTCATTTGATGTGGAGTGGCACTCCATGTGTGAAGAGGACCACACTGGGCGAGGGACAGCAGTGTCAACGAATGGGGCGATGCCTAACTGGGTGCAAACGACGGTTTATTACTCAGAGAATGTTCATGTCGGGAAAGCTCTAGAGATGTTGGCTATAGAAGAAGATTCTGGGTACGGGAAGTTGTTGATGAAGATGAAAACTTTGTTCACGGGGTTGCAGAGCACTGACGAGAACTCGCTGGATGAATGATATCATCGGATTGTGCAGTACATCGATCTGGAAGGGATTGCGTGAGCAGATGGTTTCGAGCTGGGGACGTATTTGCCTTCGTAGACTTGAGATATATATTTAAAAGGCACAATGCTCCTGAGTTGAAGCAAAGGGAATATTTTGATGTCGGAGTTCATTTGTGCCCGCTACAGAATCAAGGAGTGCCGACTGCTTGGCATAAACCGCCTGTTTTTCTTTTCTCTTTCCAGGGCCGTGCGATGTTTGGGGTTGTCACTAGTGATGCGGGAAAATATATCAAGTATCCATGCTGATGTTTCATGTTGACGTATTTGGGTCAGAAAAAGTAGATAGAGAGGAGGGGGATCAAGACAGCATTTGATGCGTCCTTTTAAGCTCTGGGAACCACTGCGTGCAGTTGGGCTAAGAACTCAAGACTGAGTATTGCGAATTGCTCTCGCTTGAATGCAAAGAGATGAAAGAGTCGAGGACCTGTAACCTTCCAACGCACTTGCTTTCTCACATCCATGAAGTGTCTTCGGAAAGGGGAACTGTCCGTTCAGGTTTAATGCTGAGCATGACGTTATCACCGCAAGCAAAATAGTAATACAAGGTGGTATCATACGGGACGGGCTCCCACGGGTTCACTCGGGTACTGTCCATGTACGTTTCCTCCCCGTGTCGTTTAATTGCAGCCTGGGCTTTGCGGACGACGCTTCAAAAGAAAGAATAGTGCAAATGACCGTATAGTACCCTTAAAGTACAGTTGTACAGTAGTGCCAAGGGTAGCGCATCTTGGAGCGGAGGAAGGGTTTCTTCCGCCATTATTTTTATATTAAACACAACAAGGGAGAGTATGATAATCGTCTGGCGGAAGAGTTGCATTGGTGATGGCAGCGGGTGAAAGGAATCGCTTGATGGGAATTTTCCACGCAGCACCCGTTGGAATTGTTGAGCGCAGGCGCGTGCCTGTAATTTGGCGAAAGCCAACAATCCAATGAAAAGGCTCCATGACCGCCACCATCGCGAGATGGTTGGCTGATGATGATTTAGGGTACGTACCATTGTAGAAATAATGATTAATCACTATCCTACCGACGACGGCGCAGCGGAGCGGCGCGCACCAGAGCCTTGCTCTGGTTGACATAAAGTGGAGTGACCGGGTCACTGTAGACCCGATCACCAGAGGAGACATCCTCACACATTCTCCATATCCCTGGCTTTCCTTTTACGAATTGCAGAATGAGAACCAGCAAGTGCGGGCAAGCAGTAACTCTAACTGTCCACTGGCTGCGAGGGCTCATATTGGCTCGAGGTTATGATATTGGCCCGAGGCGAGCCCGTATGGCTTATCACGGCGTGGCCCTATCGAGCCCCGCACAAGTGTGAGTCCCTCACGCCTGCCTCGTGATATCGCATCGGCCCCCCCTAATTGTTAGAGGAATAAAATGATATAGCGACCCCCGTAGCACATGAGCAACAGGTGGCCCAAAAGCAATTGTAGAGAATGGGCATGTCGCACGGGCATGTCGCACGGGCACGTCGTTCCAGTTGGGCGCAGCATGGATACCACTGTAATGATTTTATTTCAATAGTGCACTCGCAATGACGTCCGCATCGCATTCAGGATATCCGCTCTGCGGTGACATCGGCACTACGGTTCAGGCAAGGGAGCCAAACCACAGAATCGCCTCAGCCAGCCAGGCGACAAGTAAAGATTGTGTACCGCGGGTACCGTTGCAACGGTACCCTTGGTACTGTACTGGACACATGTTCATTGCGGATGTGAAAATAATACAGCAGTGTAAGATGGTGGCATTCAATATCTTATTGAAACTGGCATCGCTCTGAGGCAGCGCTGGACACAAAGCTGCTACCTCACATGATTCTCACGTAACCTTTGCAAATCTCAGTCAGTGAGGTACCATCTTTTCTTGCACCTTTCACTCCGTTGCGATGAGAAAAACGGACGACCTGTCGAAACCTGACAGCTGAAACGATTTTCAACACCGACTGCACACCCCGGGGGGTGCGAGCGTGAGTGCGAAGCAACGGAGTCGTGCTCCGACGCACCTTCCCTGCTCAATTCGGATTCACATGACCTGTCGCACCGCCACCTGATCCTAGTGCTCGATACTGTACAACCCGCACATAGCTTCGCAACAGAAACTGTCAATACGTTCTCATGCAACCTCTATAGCTTCCCCTTTGACGTCAACGCTTCAACAAGCTCACAGTGCCTTCAAAAGGCTTGCCGGTCTGCCTCCATCTTAAGCAACGTCAAATTACCCATTGCTTCTGTTGCCGGCGCATTATCTATCCATCGCATTCATTCCGCGCTGCCAGGACTCACAAAACCATGGCATCGCCGGACGAGTCGGAGTCGATCCCACTCTTAAATTTAGAAAGGCCAGGCTCACGACATTACTTTCCAGCGGACACAGATTCGTTGAAGAGGGCCGTTTCGTCGCTAACCAAGACTCTTCGATCGTATACCCACGCTCTTAACCGAGTTGAGCCCTGTACTCCTATTTGTGCGCTTGTTTGTGCTATCCTGGCATTTTTTGTGGTTACCAACGTTGGTCGCAAAGAGCCTGTTTACCTCCGAACGTCAGGGCCCACTTTCACATTGTCCGAGCCCAAACAGCGGGCAAGAAGCAATCGAACGTTATCAGCCCGATTATTGACTCTCAACACCTTCATTCGTCCAATGTTCGTTGGTATTGGCGACTACAAGGATGAAAGGTTGGCTCGCCTGATCCCTGAACTTGCACATTTTGACACTGCGTGCTTTCAAGAACTCTTTTGGGCCACTGGGTCGCGCAAAAGGAAGTTCATGGATGCTGCTCGCGAGCAGGGACTGATATACCAAACTTCTTCTCCATCACTTGGACTTGCAGGCCTTCTCCGTTGTCCACCAAAGATAATTGATGCGGGGCTAGTTATTCTTTCGCGCTACCCGATCGTGAAAGCTGATTATTACACCTTCTCTGAGGCTGTCTACCGTTCTATCGATATGGTCGTCGCTAAAGGCGTCCTGTATGCTCGCATCAGGCTATTTGCTGACGAGCCGATACGATACGCACATGTGTTTACGACACACATGCAAGCGAACAACCATTTGGAAGACGTATCGTTCGAAAAAGTCCGTGAAAGCCAAGTACGTGAATTAGCCAAGTTCCTGACGCACATGATTGCCGACGATCCGGACGGCGTGGTCATCATTAGTGGAGACTTCAACATGAACGCTAGAGCAGCGAGCGATGACTCGTCATCTTCAAAGGAGTATAAAGAAGCATATGCATTGCTTCAATCCTTTCGCGGTAACATCGAATTGCAGGACATTTTGTTCAAGGCTAGCAATGATTCCCATCCAGCAACTAGTGCCGGAGGACTGACGGGGCTTCCAAACAAGAAGGAATGCCTTGACTACATTTTCCTTAGTTCCTTGGATCGGGAAGACGCCAGTACATCAGTCAGTGCTTATGCAGTGACTGGATCTGTGCAGGTGGATGAGCTCCGGATAGAACCACCTACCAGTGACGCTCCTTACCAAACATTGAGTGATCACTACGCCGTAACAGCGAAAATCATATTCAAAGAGACGGGTAGCGACGACACCGGAGGATAGAAGGCATTTCGGAGCTTTCGCAGTCTGCCCGTTTGAGTGAAGTACCAAGAACCGTTAGTCCTACTTCCTCCGTTAATCGACGCAGCAGGAGTTCCTCATCGTCTCGATCCACCTCGCTCAGAGTGTACCCCGCCCCCAGGTTTTGGGGTTCAACGGGCTTGCCCTCAAGATATTCTGGGTTTGGTTATTCTCCGAATGATTACTGTCCTGGAGCGCCATGCCGGTCTGGTCCACAGAAGGATTCCAAATGTACAATAATTCATCGCTCATGTTGCAGAATCGAACGAAAAGCAGTAGCAGAAACGCTTTTGTGCTCAAAATTCCTTTCCACTTGCATCGTGCTTGGCTTTGCAATACTTGCAGTACTGTACCACTGCCAAGGATGACTGCAATAGTTGGATAGTGACGCTCTTACGGGGGCCCCAAGTATGTGATTGAGGCACTCCATCCGCCACTGCATCTTGCCTGCTGGCGTGTGGCCGTACGCCCCAATTCGAACTCCTTTCTTGAACATTTCGCTATTGAGGGCAACAGCTGCCAATTTGGACGCATCCTGGTGCTGACATCCTGCTTTCGCATCTCTGACACGTGTATCGCACGTGTCAGTCGTGAGACACTGGGAAGGTCTGTACAACTGCGATCGATTTCGTGCCATTCAGCACATTTGATGGCTTGAGGCTTACTGTGTATCCAAAGGAAAGCATCGCACCGTGCCATGACCTCACCGGAACCACTTTTCAAGGGGAAACGAATTGTTGTAACTGGAGGGACTGGTTTCATTGGAAGCGCGCTGCTCTCGGAACTGCGGAGCAGATACCCAGATGTGATCCCAGTCGCCCTTGCGCGACCGTCATCACACGTTGTGCTGCTACAACGACTGCTTGACTATACCGAAGAGGAACCTAGTGTCCTTATTGGATCTTTGAATGACATTTCTACGATACAGCCATGTGTCAAGGGGGCAGATGTTGTCATTCATCTCGCAGCTGACATGGATTTCTTCGCGCGTGATGTGTCCCGACTCATCCAGGTAAACGTAGAAGGAACCAGGAATTTGCTTGAGGCGTGCGCTCGCGAAGCCTCCAGAACGGGCCATAAGGTCCGCTTCGTATATGCGTCTTCGACAGAGGCTGTTGGTTGTACTAATGGACTTGGAAAAGCGGACGAGACCGCAGTGAGAAGACCAGATTCAGATTACGGGCGGAGTAAAGTGCTTGCAGAAGATGTCGTCAGGCAATACGCAGATCGCCTAGACACTGTCATCGCAAGACCAACGGGCGTGTTTGGACCTGGGGAAAGATTTTTCTTTTTTGAGAAGATGAAGATGGTGGCATCCGGAATTGCGTTTTTTGCACCGTCTCCAATGACAGGGCGTGCTATGTTCACCCATATTGCAGATGTCGTTGAAGGTTTAATAATTTGTGCAAGTCACGCCGAAGCCGTCGGTGAGACGTTTTATATTTGCCCAAACGAATCTGTAACATATCGAGAAATTCTGGACACTCTCGCAGATGCGTTGAAATGCCCACGACCATTTATATTTTTGAGAGAGAGCATTGGCGTTGTGTTGATGAAAGCTATCTCGCCAATTTTGAATTTAGGAAAGAGGAGGGTATTTATATATCACCCAACAACAGTGAAGCGATCTATGGAAAACAGAGAATACTGCAACGAGAAACTTCGACGACTGGGATTTGCTCCCAAGTACACAATTCTGTCAGGTGCAGAGCAAACTATGGTGTCAGAAATGAATTCTGGAAATATCAGTCGAGGGTTTATTCCGGGCGCATTGAAATCTTGCATCTACGTAGCAGCCTTAGTGGTGTTTTCTCTGAAAGGGTGCTTTCGTAGGAGACAGCCTGCCCGCCCATAAGGTTACGTTGCGGAATTCGATCGCCGCATAGGATTACCAAGCCCAGAAGATCGATTGTGACCACTTTGTTTAGCGAAACAAAAAATACATTCAAGAAGATGTTGCAGAGTGCACTAGTACCACATCTGCACTGATGCCCCATCAGCGTAAATTCATGTAGGTTACGTTTCACCCTGCATTTGAGAATCTCCCGATCTAAAGGCGGAAAACTCTTGTTTGGCTGTGAAGATGTGGATGCGTGCAAAAATGCTGTCTTCTTGAGAGGTGCTCTAAATTCTTGACGCTGGGAACTATCGTACCTGTGTGCATTGCTTCAAACGCCAAGGTCGTGTTATTGATTCATAGTAGGCCAATGCGCTTGTTCAAAGCTTATGCGGAGAAAGGAAATATGCAGAGGCTGTATTTAAAAATTTACGAGGTTTTAAGGATCGGTACGAACGGCATTCTACAAACGTTGTCCCGTCACGTGTGTCGTGCTTGATGTGCTCGAACTTGCCGCTCAACTCACTACCCAGAGAAGGGAAACTGCCCGTATGACTGAGCCGTCCAATTCAAAGGATCACAAGTTTGACAATTGTATTCTTTCATTTATACGGAGTTAGTTGATTGAGGGCTACTAGCCCGTGTGTTATAAACGCTACTAATGCTACCCTATTAAATCTATTTCACTATCTGTACACTCTTTCGTTCTAATGTCCGGTGTCACCCCTAGACGGAAAGCTCCCCACAGGGTACTACCGCACAGACTACTGAGTAAACCACGGTGGCATTTCACTGGCTCTTCGCGGTAGCCCCTTCGATATGCTTTTGGCGGGATCGATTGCTCCTGCCTGCATGGCTCGATAGACCGCATGTTGCCGTTTTTCCCTCAACGATTTTTCACGTTTCCTCCTCCTCCTCTTCAAAATTGCCGGAGGGTTCAAAGCCAAAAGTCCGTCCTGCCTTGGATCCGCCTTTAAAATCATGTCTGCGAGCTTGGGGAGCAATGGTATCACTCCAGACACGGAAGTCGCATACAGGTGCGATTTCCCTGTTGCGACTCTCGGAAGATTAACTTCGCATGATTCCCCAACCCCAACTGTCAGAATGCGGATACCAGCTTTCTCCATTTTCTGCTTTTCATGAACAGCTGCTTCAACCCCTCCAGGGCTCTGGCCTCCCTTCGTGAATTCTCCTGCGTTGATAACAACCACGCGGCGGAGCCGGCCAGCTTTTTGCACTTGCGCCTGAATGTGCTTGTTCACTACGGGCGGAAGCATCTCAAATCGTGACCACTTCAATGCTAAATGCACCTCTCTTGACATCCCATTCATGGCAGGAGGCACTTCCTTCGCTTGAACAGTTGGTGGTTCTTCAATATCACCTTCGCTCTCAAGGACATCCATACCCTGGTCAGCCTCCATAATATTGTCTGAGCTACGTCCGACAAGACTATCGACCTTCCGAAGAGCGTTTCCACCAACTTCTTCTCCGACCTCGTAAATGTACATCCCGTCTCGGTCCCAATTATTGGCGTCCCCTTGAAACGAGCTCAGGATCCGCCTGCGAACTGCCTCCTCGTCCCGGTCAAGTTCAGAGACGACGACAGAATCGTAAGCGTATTCAACAAACCCAACACGGGAACCACTGTGCGTCTTACTCATCAGATCATCAAGCAGGCCACCTGGTTTAGTCAGGACTTCCTTCATTTGTCGGTATTCCCTCCACGAGAGTGATCCCGAAGCGTCAAAAACAAAAAGTAGGTCAACCTTCGGCCCATCAAGACATCCTGTTTTCAAGCTTCCCACTCCATTTTCGGAAGGGCTGCCACTTTTTGTGCCAGAGGTCGCCTCATGAGATGATGGAAAACGTGACGACTTAAAAGAACGTAGCTCTGATGAGTTTGCCGATGCAGAAGCCATCATATCTGAACCTGGCAACTGGCTCAAGGCCATGCACATTCCCGGCACGGCGAGTCGGGTTATAACTTGCGGTGGTCTCACTCGAGCAGCTCCAGGCTTGAACAGTCCGGCAAACTGTCCCCCTACCTTCGCCGCAACGGCTTCACCAGCCGCAACTACCATCTCGGGTAACTCTGATGCACTCTTCCATACTTGGTCCCACGGCGAATCATCGTCTAGGTCACGTTCTTCCCTCTCACTCGTATACCCACTCTTCTCGTTGTCGTCGTCAGATGAGCCGAAAAGAGAGGTTATTCCAAACGCACCAACACCTGGCACAACTGCGCATGTCTTATAGACTACAGCTCCTACAGTGAGCATAACAATAAACGATGCAATCGCGATTCCACTCATACCTGCTATGCCCCCAGGCAGAGAATTGCCGCTGGAATCCTCTAGGCCAGAATCAGGTTCATCCATCAAATCCTCAGGACCGCCTTCTGCCTCTAGAATGGAAACATCATCGGGAGTTTGGACAGCGGATGTCGTTGGAGAAGCGGTAGTACCGCCCCCCGAACCAAATTCAGGACCTTGAGAGGGCTCGGCGGTGAACACTTCGGATGGAACTGAAGAATTTCCGCCTGAAGCCTCGGGTCTATCGTCGCCCTCGCCAGAAGATTCAGCGGCATTTGCTTCGCCACTAGGAGATTGTACTGGTAATGGTAGTTGAGTCGGCTCCACAGGGTCAGGGGTTTCGGATGAAGGGTTAATATCTGGTGGTGCTGTACTTGTTGAAATCGCGATGCCCGGGTCCGAAGTTACCCCGACATCCTCTACCTCAGATACTGACGGTGTGTCATCTGGCTGCGCGTCAGAAGATGGTCGAACACCATCTTGTGTAACTTCCGATGATGCAACGGGAATTGATTCTTCAGCAGAAGCCTCTGGACTAGGACTAGGAATGCTCTCAATGCCAGGTGGATCACTTGGGGTTTCTTCCAGCCCAGCAGAAGGTTCCTGATCCGGCATCAACGTCTGACTTGGGACTTCAGAGATCTCCGGGGAAATAGTTGTTGCGGAAGTTGCAGGAGTAACATCAATAGGTGGTGATGAGGAATCCAGACCTTCTGACGGCGTAGTCAAATCTTCTTCGGCTGTTTCCGTCAATGGGGTTGCTTCTCCAATGCCCGGACTAGGGATAAGTCCATCCCCTGATGTTGCAGGGCTGTCCTCAGGCACTTCCCCTGGTGATCCTGGTTCGAGAGTCACTTCCGATGGAGCAAACGACGGGGACACTTCCACGTTGTTCGCAGACAAAGATGATTCCACAGCCAATTCATCTGTCTCTGCCACTGTAGCTTCAGACCCTTCATCTGAGTTTATCAGAACAGTCAGACTCGGATCATCTGTAGTTTCACTTCCATCGATGGTAGGAGTAGCGTCAACTAGAGTTGGAGCCTCAGGCAACAGGCTTGGCTCTAAAGAAGAAGGGACCACAACATCTCCATCAGTATCGCCTTCCACACTGGGTTGAGATTCTTCATCTGCGTCTTGGTTCTCGATTTCGTCCGAGGAAGTAGGTCCAAACGAGACCTCGGCAGATTCTGTCTCCGTAGATGCGACGGATACAATGTCATCAGTTCCTCCACTTGTGGAATCAATCTCCATTGATGCGCTCTCAACAGGTGCACTCATCATATCACTCTCCGCAGGACTCTGTGAAAACTCTTCGTCAGAGGGCATTGTGGGTGTAGGCTGAATCAGAGGAGTTTCTGCAGGCGGGAACCCCTCCAAAGGTTCTCCCGTCTCAACATCAGTGCTTGGATCTGATGGACTGTTGCCAAGGACAGGTTCGTCCGATCCAGATTGAGGCTCAGGATCGTCAGTTTCCTCAGATCCTCCTTCCCGCCCTTCTTCTCCAAAACTAGGCTGAGGGGTGAGAGACGGTTCAGGTACTGAACTACTTTCAGATGAATTTGACTCTGTAGAAGATGTCGGGATCGTTGACTCCGTAACAGTGCCGGAGCTGCCCTCCACAGAGCCCTCCACTGCCGACTGTGAGTTCTCAAACGCACCAGTAGGCTCAGGAACTGATGACCCGGTCTCCGCAGATGAATCGGTTGTTGGCACCTCGTCTTCGGATGAGTCAATAGCTCCCGGTGGTGTAGGGCTCATAAACTCTATCTTATCTACATCTTCAGAAGCTTGAGGAAGACCAGTGGTATCTTCTCCAGAAGATGGCTCAGTATCTAATGGCGTTTCACCCGCACTGGGCGGAACAGTAGTCGTATCGTTTGGGATCTCCGTGGCAACATCTTCCGCCACAGGAGTTTCACTTGCCGTCGGAGTTTCCATAAATCCCGGAAAAGCCGATGGCACACTGCTCACGACAGGAGCCGTACTCTCAGAGCCACCCGCCTCTCCTGCATCGCTGGGTGTGGTCGGAGTCGTACCTGGTTCCTTGTCGTCCCCACCGCCCTCACTCGGAGTCTCAACTTCAGTTTCTTCTCCAGCAGGAGTCCCATCAACAATTGGCGTTTCTACAGCTTCTGGTAATGTCGACGGAGCACTGCTCACGACAGGAGCCGTACTCTCAGAGCCACCCGCCTCTCCTGCATCGCTGGGCGTGGCCAGAGCCGTACCTGGTTCCTTGTCGTCCCCACCGCCCTCACTCGGAGTCTCAACTTCAGTTTCTTCTCCAGCAGGAGTCCCATCAACAATCGGCGTCTCTACAGCTTCTGGTAATGTCGACGGAGCACTGCTCACGACAGGAGCCGTACTCTCAGAGCCACCCGCCTCTCCTGCATCGCTGGGCGTGGCCGGAGTCGTACCTGGTTCCTTGTCGTCCCCACCGCCCTCACTCGGAGTCTCAACTTCAGTTTCTTCTCCAGCAGAAGTCCCATCAACAATCGGCGTCTCTACAGCTTCTGGTAATGTCGACGGAGCACTGCTCACGACAGGAGCCGTACTCTCAGAGCCACCCGCCTCTCCTGCATCGCTGGGCGTGGCCGGAGTCGTACCTGGTTCCTTGTCGTCCCCACCGCCCTCACTCGGAGTCTCAACTTCAGTTTCTTCTCCAGCAGGAGTCCCATCAACAATCGGCGTCTCTACAGCTTCTGGCAACGTCGATGGCACACTGCTCACGACAGGAGCCGTACTCTCAGAGCCACCCGCCTCTCCTGCATCGCTGGGCGTGGCCGGAGTCGTACCTGGTTCCTTGTCGTCCCCACCGCCCTCACTCGGAGTCTCAACTTCAGTTTCTTCTCCAGCAGAAGTCCCATCAACAATCGGCGTCTCTACAGCTTCTGGTAATGTCGACGGAGCACTGCTCACGACAGGAGCCGTACTCTCAGAGCCACCCGCCTCTCCTGCATCGCTGGGCGTGGCCGGAGTCGTACCTGGTTCCTTGTCGTCCCCACCGCCCTCACTCGGAGTCTCAACTTCAGTTTCTTCTCCAGCAGGAGTCCCATCAACAATTGGCGTCTCTACAGCTTCTGGTAATGTCGACGGAGCACTGCTCACGACAGGAGCCGTACTCTCAGAGCCACCCGCCTCTCCTGCATCGCTGGGCGTGGTCGGAGTCGTACCTGGTTCCTTGTCGTCCCCACCGCCCTCACTCGGAGTCTCAACTTCAGTTTCTTCTCCAGCAGGAGTCCCATCAACAATTGGCGTTTCTACAGCTTCTGGTAATGTCGACGGAGCACTGCTCACGACAGGAGCCGTACTCTCAGAGCCACCCGCCTCTCCTGCATCGCTGGGCGTGGCCGGAGTCGTACCTGGTTCCTTGTCGTCCCCACCGCCCTCACTCGGAGTCTCAACTTCAGTTTCTTCTCCAGCAGAAGTCCCATCAACAATCGGCGTCTCTACAGCTTCTGGTAATGTCGATGGCACACTGCTCACGACAGGAGCCGTACTCTCAGAGCCACCCGCCTCTCCTGCATCGCTGGGCGTGGTCGGAGTCGTACCTGGTTCCTTGTCGTCCCCACCGCCCTCACTCGGAGTCTCAACTTCAGTTTCTTCTCCAGCAGAAGTCCCATCAACAATCGGCGTCTCTACAGCTTCTGGCACCGTCGATGGCACACTGCTCACGACAGGAGCCGTACTCTCAGAGCCACCCGCCTCTCCTGCATCGCTGGGCGTGGCCGGAGTCGTACCTGGTTCCTTGTCGTCCCCACCGCCCTCACTCGGAGTCTCAACTTCAGTTTCTTCTCCAGCAGAAGTCCCATCAACAATCGGCGTCTCTACAGCTTCTGGCACCGTCGATGGCACACTGCTCACGACAGGAGCCGTACTCTCAGAGCCACCCGCCTCTCCTGCATCGCTGGGCGTGGCCGGAGTCGTACCTGGTTCCCTGTCGCCTCCATCGATGTCACTCGGAGTCTCAACTTCAGTTTCTTCTCCAGCAGGAGTCCCATCAACAATCGGCGTCTCTACAGCTTCTGGCACCGTCGATGGCACACTGCTCGATACAGGACCCGCACTCTCAGAGCCCCCTGTCCCCGTTCCATCCCCCGGCGTAGCCGGAGTCGAAGCAGGTCCCCTGTCGTCTCCACCGACCTCACTCGGAGTCTCAACCTCAGTTTCCTTTCGAACAGGAGTCGCATCGACGATCGGCGTCTCCACTGCTTCTGGCAGCGTCGATGCCGCGCTGCTCGCCGCAGGAGCCGCACTCTCAGAGCCGTCTGAGCCTGTTCCATCACTTAGCGTAGCCGGTGTCACGGGAGGTTCCGCCTCGTCTCGGTCCACTTCGCTCGGAGTCTCAACTCCAGTTTCCCCCTCGGCAGGAGTCGGACGCACGATTGGCGTCTCTCTGATCTGAGGCAATGAGGATGGTATGCTGCTTGCGAATGGCGTCACAGATTCAGCTATTGGTGTTTCCACAACTGGCACTTCTCTTTGAGAAACTGAGGGTTTCTCGCTTATGGCAGATACTGGAGCGGGTGAAATAGATATACCCGGCGTCGGTCGGAGCCCCGCGGGTGATGGTGTCTCAGAGAGCAGGGACCCGTCAGAAACATTGGCAGCCCGCTTCGGAGACTCCGCGACTTCAGGCGTGGCGGATGTCTTTTCACTCTCGGGACTCTCTACTTCTTTCCCTCCAGGAGGATCGTTCTCAAGCTGCTGTGGTGACTGGACTGCGTCAGGGGTAGCGGCGGGACCGGTCCCATCTTCGGCAGGAGGTAGCCTGTCCAATTGCGGGGATCCACTAGGACCCTGCGGAGATAGACTTGGTCTTCCCGAGAGCGAAGCACTGGTCGACTCTGTCGCGGAAGATGTGTTTGGTGTCACGCCTCCTATTGCCTTCCCAGGCGAAGCAAATGGTTCCGGAGTCGTTGAGTCTTGTTCGGGAAGAGCCGACGGAGCCAGATCGCTAGACGGAGACGCTTCCGGTTTTCGCGTATCAGGATCATCGCTCCCCTTGAATGGCTGTGAGGGTTCCACCGAAGTCGGCTCTTTCGGGGCTCTCTTAGGTGATTCAACCAATTCCGGAGTAGTGGAAGCCTTGATGGCCTCTGTACCTGCAGCAGAGCTCTCAATTTCGCCGCCGGAATTGGTAGGGCCCCCCGGTTTTCGTTGTCGTTTAGAAGGAATTGGAGGTCTCCCCGAAGATTCATCAGGTTCCGGGGTAGGAGGCGCGGTGCGGGCAGTGTTGACGGTAGGGGATCCACCCGGGGGTATTTCATCGTCGGAGTCAACGGGCTCCAACGATGGAGCCAAATTCACGCTTTCCGAGGTAGCAGGTGGAGCGCTAGGTCGCGATTCGGACTGCTTGATGCGTGGAGATGTCGTAGGTCGCGAGTTTTCCGTTTCCGTCGCAGGAGCCTCGATATCGGTTGCTCCCGATTCGGAACTTTCTGAGGACCGCCCGGGGCGTGGGACGCGCGAAACCGCGGGATTAGTGGAATCATCGGCATCATCGGGGTTCGTAGGGGTCGTCCGGGGTCGTCCGGATGCGGGCCCATCATCGTCGTTGATCGGAGGCTCGATTGAAGTTGTTGCGAGATCAGCACTAGCATCATCGGATGGATCTGCCGGATTGTCATCTCGGCGTCGTACCGGTCGCGACTGATTTGGGTCGTCGGCCGTCAGGGTCGGCTGCCGATCAGTGAAGGCGTTGTCAGGGAAAGCGGTGGAGGATGATGGTACAGAGGGTGGAATATTTACAAGTAGGGTGGGTTGTTTTTGACGTGCAACCGGATAGAGATAGCGCGTGTTGACCGGGGGTACGCAAAATATGAGGAGAGCAAGAGCGACCGAAGGAAGGCGTCGCATGGAGAGCGCCAGAGAGAATGGTGGGCGCCGCATATTGAGCTCATGCGGAAAGGAGCGTGAATTAGAATTAGGGAAGGCGCGCGAATGTGGGAGTAGATGGGGGAACAAGACAAGGGCGGATGTTGAGTGGATGAATGTTGGGAATGAGGTTCGGTAGAGTTACGATAGAGGAGGGAAAAGGAACGGTGCCGTACTGTGGTTTGGGTGCGGAGTTGGGGAAAGTAAGGGGCGGCTGCGCGGGGAGGGAAATTTGCGAAGGGGACGAGTGAGTAGATTGGAGTGCGACAAAGGATACTGGCGATAACCGTAGGGATGGGGGGGGCTGGAGGACGTGCGACAAGGGGGCAAAAATGCGGAGGCGGAAAGAGAATGGGTCCAAAATGGAAGGCGACCTGGCAACAAAGAGGGGCTGGTGCGGCACAATCGGGCGTAACAGCGTGTCTCTTTGGACGGGTCCGGCGCAGTGGGGGGTTTGTTCGCGGGTTATTGGCTGGGAGGGGGTGCTTCCTTCCAGGCCCTCACGGACTCCTTGGACAGATGACGACCGAGCAGAAAGGCGATTCCTGAGGGGTTACTACCGTGAGCTGATGCGTACCGGGAATGGCAAGGGTACAAAACATTGGCACAACACACAAAAAAAAATAGAACCGCTCTAGAGGGACACAGCACAGGGAAGGTGTGTGAACGTAGAGCTGTCAAGGTTGCAACGTGCCATGCATAGACGTGCAGGGCGTGGCGGAAAGTCCTCCAACACCTCCTATTGGTGGTACCATGCCGCCCAGCCCGGGGTGGCACACGTAGCGCCGTTTGGTAGGGGGCTAAATCCCTCGTGCTGATGCACCCCTTGCAGAGCCCTTCTACACTGCATGATAAGGAATCTACTGGTCCGGCATTCGCACCGGTCACTCCGTGACCGCATCCGGGAATCCCTCCGTGTTTGCACCGGTTTTTGCGATTCGTCACATCCTCGCTGCCAAGTGTTCCTCCTGAAGCGATCAACGTATTACACGGCTGTTTTCAAGGCCCGAACTGTATTCAGACCCCTAAATCACACCGCTCCCTCATCGCCATCGCGTCACGGT